CAGCTATAAACCCTATCTCTGCTTTTGCTATTGTTGTTTCCACGTAGATCAGCAAATTAACATCTACTCATTACCTGTGTCTGACTTCTCCCTGGCAGGAGGCACTAGGATTATGCCCATTTGACAGATGTGGACACTGAGGCTCAGACACCTAGCTAGTCCAAGAGAAGTGTGAGCCATATATATATATATATTATTGATTTTTTACAGAGAGGAAGGGAGAGGGATAGGGAGCTAGAAACATCGATGAGAGAAACATCGATCGGCTGCCTCCCGCACACCCCCCACTGGAGATGTGGCTGCAACCAAGATACATGCCCTTGACCGGAATCGAACCCGGGACCTTTGGTCCGCAGGCTGACGCTCTATCCACTGAGCCAAACCGGTTTCGGCTCAATTCCTTCCTTTCCATCCTTCCATGCCCTGAACTCCCAACTTTCTCACCCCCTTCCTTGCCCTGGAGCCCTGGACGGCTCTCAGAGGCAGAACCACCCAGGCCTAGCCTGTTAAAGGAGGAAATGGGCTTAAGGCACGCTGGCGTTTCTGATAGGATTGTGCTGCCTGGTGACGGAATACACAGAGGGTGCAGCAGGCTGTGACAGGGGAAGGGAGCCTGGGGGAGGCACCCTCACGTGGAGGCGCTCAGTCCTGGAGCAACAGCGCCACCTGCTGGCTGCGTGTGGTGTGACACTGCGGTAGCAAAACCAGAGCAATTGGGAAATAGCAGCACGAAGACCCAGAACAACCTCACTTGATGTTTTACTGTCTGGGGTTTTATTGAAGAACTAGGGGCCCATTGCACGATATTCATGCAAGAACAGGCCTTCCTTCCCCTGGCTTCACTCCCAGCCGCACGGGAGCCAGCAAATCTCCACTCCTGGCCCTCCAGGGAGCCGGCAAGTCCCTGCTTCTTAGGACTTGCTCCTGTAGTCCGTCTGCTGCCACCTCCTCCCCCCATAACAGGTGTCCCGCCCCTCCCAGCCGCTCCTCACCTGCATATGCAAATTGACCCAACATCTTCGCTGGGTTAATTTGCATACTCACTAATTGGCTGTGAGCATAGTAGAGGTATGGCCAATTTACACGTTTCTCTATTATTAGATAAGATAGACAAGAGCTTCATCTACTCACCACTTAAATAAACAGAAACGGCTGTTAATTATGCAATAAATATGTGCTGAGCAGCTATTACAACAGACACAGCTTCTGCCCTTTAGGAAGTTGTTTTGGCAAAAGGTACTCACACCATCTCTCTCCCTCTCTCTCTCTCTCACACACACACACACACAGGCTGTAGGTACTTCTAAGTAGATATGGTCTATAACCCATATGTGTAACTGAACAGGGTAGCAGCTAGGGTTGTGGGTAGCCTCAGAGCTGCTTGTCTGGGTTTATATGCCAATTTTTTCACTATTTCTTTCTTTCTTTCTTTCTTTTCTTTCTTTCTTTTTTTTTTTTTTTTTATAGCTCTGTGTCCCTTCTCCCTACCTCAGTACTCTCATTGATAAACTTTTAAATTAACATTAATATACACTGAGTGCCAGATTGTTATAATCTCTGAACGCATAATAATCTGGCCACTCAGTGTATATCCTATATAATAAAAGGCTGATATGCAAATTGTCCGCTTAACCAGGAGTTCAACCAGCAGACTGGCCAACCGACCATGTCCCCTCCCCCTGGCCAGGCTGGTCTGACCCCACCCGTGCACAAATTCATGCACCAGGCCTCTAATACACACACACACACACACACACACACACTGAGTGGCCAGACTATTATGCATTCAGAGATCATCATAATCTGGCCTCTCAGTGTATATTTAAGATGGTTGTGCTGTCTAGTGAATATATTGAATATTCCATTAATGTACAAAACCTTAAAAAAATTTAACCGAATTTTTTAAAGTTTAAATTAACAAAACTTTTTCAAAAGTTCTTTGTGGGAACCCTGCCCAGCGTAGCTGGGTGCCCAGGCCCATGTGAGGGAGGGGCTCTGCCCAGCACAGCCGGTGCCCAGGCCCATGTGAGGGAGGGGCTCTGCCCAGCACAGCCGGGTGCCCAGGCCCAGGTGAGGGAGGGGCTCTGCTCAGAGTAGCCAGTGCTAAGGCGTTTCCCAGGCGCAGGGGCGGAAGCGAGGACACACGATCTCTGGCTGCGCGCAGCGCTCCGTCGCGCTGGGGTCTTAGTTCCAGGTGAAGCCCAAGGCCTGCTCCACAGCAGGTTCCTGTGAGCATCTCTGCCGACCTCAGAGTCAGCACAGGCGTCTTCAAACAGACGGCGAAGAGGAGCAGCGTGCCCGCGTCCCCGCCAAGCAGCCCCCGCCCCGCAGGGTCGCCCTGGGCGTGGCACAGGGGTCAGAGGCCAGCCCAGGGACATGCGAGCCAGGAGGGGGCTGAGCCCAGACGGAAACGCCAGCTCTGAGGCTCCAGGGAGGAGGGAGAGGGGCTTGCACCTGTCTCTCTGCAAAGGGTGCACAGGTGGGCTCTGGGGCGGGGGCGGGGTCTGGGGCAGGCAGGCTCTGAGGAGCAAACCCGGGTGCGTGAGTAAGCCGGGCGCACACCTGTGCCCTCACAGTCTCCGTGCTGCTTCCTTCGGAAAGTCTCCCATGTTCAGTCCCAGCCCAGAGGTGTGTGAGGGTGTGGGTCCCCGGGCCATGAGGCCGGCTCGGTGCCGCTGGGTTTGCAGATGGCCGCTCCCAGAGGAGAGTGTTGGGCTCCGAGCCCAGCCCCCTGGAGATCCTTCTGGGGCCGGGCTCCCAAGACCAGCTCAGAGGAACTCCCAGCTTTTCCCAAAGACGGTAAGGGACCAGCAGGCTGCGCCACCGCCCCTGGGGGCCAGCCAACGGGTGACAACACGCGCCAATTGTCACCAACCGGGGAGCCGAGCCCTGGGCCCTGGCACGGTGCCGGAGGCCCGCGGTGTGGGTGCTGTTTACTTAGAGTCTCGCTCTCCAGCCCGAGGCCAAACCGCTGGAGGGACCGGGGCACAGGACACCGTCAGAGGGCGGCCAGGCTCCCGGCGGCTCCGGGACAAGGCCGAAGGCCAGGCCTCCGGGGGCTCTGAGCTCCCCCCCCCCCCCCGCCTGCAATGGGCCCAGCTCTCCCCCCTCACAGCCTCCGCCCCTCCGGGCACAGCTCTCCCCCCTCCGGGTGCTACGGTTCGGAGCAATGGGGTTCGGAGCAATCACTCCGGGTCGTTTTTTTGAGATTTACTCAACAATTCTTAAGTGGAAAATTAAACTTTTTAAATGTAAATCAGCTGTTTCTGTGACTTTGCACCTAATCCATTTTTCCCTGTGGGCGGCGACTCAAGGACAGACTGCTCGCCTCTGGTTGAAACTCCCTCAACAAAGCCAAGGTCGTTCCTGTCAGCCAGCAGGGACCTGGCCCCAGGACACATGCTCGCTAGACAGCTCGTTCCTAAGTTCACAGGAGTGCTCCCAGGCCAGCTGCTGCCGCTTCACAATCACAGGACAGCGATGTCCCAAATGCCTGCTGACGGGGCCGTGACCATGAACCCAGGACTCCTGCAGACCTCTGGCTCGAAGCTCACAGACAATTTCTGTCAAGAACGCTTACGAAACAGAAACGATTGGGAATCGTACCAATGTTTCATCTCCCGAAATAACTTCTATTTCTTTTCTTGTTAATCCTCACCTGGGGATATTTTTTCATTGATTCTTAGAGGGAGTGGAAGGGATGGGGAGAGCAGAAACATTGATGTGAGAGAGACACATTGACTGGCTGCCTTGCACACCCAATCGGACCAGGGGCCGGGGTGGAGCCTGAAACCCCGTACATGCCCTGGACCAGAAGTCACCCCGGGCGGGACCCTTCAGTCTGCAGGCCGGCGCAGCTCCTTCTATGTCTAAGGGGTCTGCTGACAGGGACCCAACCCGTCCCAACAGGCACTGGGCCTCGGGAGGCGGCCCTGTGGGTGTAGACAGACAGCGTGTGTCACTGCTACGACGGGCCTGGGCTCTGTGTCCTCAATTCTCACTGTGCGCTCAGCCTGACGGACAGCCCCGCCAGTGCTCCGCGTGGTGGGGCTGCTGGGCACACGGTACAGGGGTCATCGATTTCCGGAGAGAAGCCCCCCCGCAGGGCTGAGCCCTCGAGCTCCGAGCTCGCTGACGCCTGGGCCATGGACTCCCCAGCCGAGTCCGTCAGCCTCTGGCCGAGCCGCCGAGTCCTCAGTGCGGGGAGGTGTCTGCACTCACGTCCCTGCTGGTGAGTCCTCACCGTCCCACTTTCCGGATGAACCCAGGGGTACAAGGACAGACCTGAGAAAAGGCAAAATGATGGACAAGGACCCGACCGCACCACATGTGAAGGTGAGGGACGAGCTGCAGCCCGTGGGGGCCCAGCCTGGCGTCCACGGGGACGGCACCAGGGACGTGCTGACGGTGTTCTTTGCAAAGGGCAAGGCTGAGACCTTGGCTGGGCGGCGAGCGGCAGTGGCCGGGGAGATCCCAGGCGCCCCGCCTTCCTCCCGGTGCCCTGGCGTGACCTGCACAACACACTGCTCTCCTGGGGACCCCACCTCCCGAGGCCCCTGGGAGGGCTCAGCCTACAGCCGACACGAAGGCAGAATGAGCGGCTCACACACTGCATACCCCGCGGTTTATTCTGAAAAACAGCCCCGTTACCATGTCCTCTCCCTCGCCCTCCTTTTCCTTAAAGAACAAGTTACAAAAGGTGCAGACGGACACACTGGCAGGGGATTCGTGAGAAATGACCCAGGGCTCCTGGTTCACGCCTGAGTCAGAAACAGCGAATGGCTACATGAGGAGAAAGGTTTACAGCAGGAGGGTGGTCGGAGCCGATGATGACAGTGAGTGGTTAGAGGCCACCGCCCGCACCCGCACACAGACACGCACACCGCCGCGGACGGAGGACGGCAGTCAGGGTCGGCGCCCGCGGCCTGGCAGACAGCAGGCGGGAGGCTCCGGGCGGCGTGGCCCGCGCCCTCCAGCGGCCGCGGCTCTGCTCGGGCGCCTCACTTGGAGTCCTGGTCTTGCTTTTCGTCCAAAAGGGCGGAGCGGATGCCCAGCTTTTTCAGTTCCTCCACCAGGTCCCCGTTCTGGTGCATCTGTAGGAGGATGTCACAGCCCCCCACAAACTCGCCGTTGAGGTACACCTGCGGGATGGTGGGCCAGTTGGAGTAGTCTTTGATGCCTGCGGGGGAAGAACAGCGGGTCACTACACGTCAGAGTGAACTGCCCGCGGCAGACGCTCTTACCCGCCCCGGCAGGCGGCCCCCCCGGCTCCCCAGCCCGGGACAAGCGCTCGCTGAGGAGCCAGGGCCGCTGAAACCCAGCCCCGCCGGGAGGCAGTGCGGCTCAGGTGGCCGCTGAGCCTCTCGCCTGGCGCCCTCGCCCCGGCTGTGATGGGACCGGGAGCGTGCTCCCGGGGCCGGCCCGGCAGGACTGACAGCAGGGAGCCTGATCGGCTGTGGAGTGGACGTCACACCAGACACCACGACTAGGAGCCACGCCACCACTCCCTTCCCAGGAGGGCCTGCCACGGGGCCATCGTGGGGACCTGCCAGGTGAGGCGGCCCCACCTGGGCCTGTCTGGGTGAGCGAATGTCACCAGACACTTAGCTCAGATGTCAGGCCGTGTTTGCCTTCATTAACCTCTGGCCGGAGAAACGCCCTTTCCCACGCTGCAGGCGGAGCCCCGTCCTCTCGGCCTCGGAGGGAGCCCGGAGCTCACAGGTGAGCTAACGAAGTGCGTCCGGCGAGGGCCACTGGCCACGAGACGGGAGAGTGCAGCACACGGGTGCCAGACAGCGTGGCCAGCGACCATTCTGCTCCGAGCCATGGGAGCCGGTTTGACACAGTAAGGAGGAAATGTGGTTTCAGAGCCCATTCTTTTCCCATTCATCCTCCCCATTACACTCACACCAGAGGCCCAGTGCACGGATTCATGCACTGGTGGGTCCCTCAGCCTGGCCTGCTCCCTCTCCCAATCCGGGACCCCACGCTGGCCTGCATGCGGCAATGGGCTGAAACTGGCAGTCTGACATCCCCCAAGGCAGTGGTCAGCAAACTGCGGCTCTCGAGCCACATGCAGCTCTTTGGCTCCTTGAGTCTTTAGCAAAGGCCAGCTTAGGAGTCCCCTCATTAAGTTAGTAACAATGTACCTACCTATAGAGTTTAAGTGGCTCTCAAAAGAAATGTCGATCGTTGTCCTATTGATCTTTGGCTCTGTGGACTAATGAGTTTGCCGTCCACGGCCCCAAGGGATGTGGTGTGGGGCCGGGCACTGCACCTCCACCCAGTAGGTAGCCTGCTGCCAACCAGGCCGGAGGCTCACACCTCCACAGCTGCGCTCACCATGAGCCGGGCATCTGGCGCTCCCGCTGGGGGGGAACACTGACCCCCAGGGGGCAGGACCTGTGTGAGCGTCTGCCCCCTGGGGGTCAGTGTGCATCATTGCGACCGGTCATTCAGTCACTTAAGCTTTTATATTTGTAGAAGATGTTGAGATGAAATAGCCTTTTTAAAACATATCTAAGCAATAAACTTCTGTGTTGGTTATGTTAAAGCAGAGGATGGTCAAAAGCATGGCATGATAATCATGACAGAGTACACGTGACATTTTTTATACTTAGGTAGGCAGTTGTTTTTAAATGGTCAAAATGAGCACAAAATAAACCAAACAGAAACGTCAACAGATTTTGCAAACAAAATAAAAACACAGGAACTGGTTCTTCTGACCCTATCATTTATTACCAAACATTTGCTTTCCAAATAAAATGACCAATTTGCGTTCTATCACTGCCTTCTAACCAACAGCAAACCCGCCCTAAATGCCGTGCTAGGAAGGCCTGGCGGCCGAGGGCGTTATCTTTCGCTCCCAGACGCACTGGGAAGAGTGGTTGCCAGCTCACAGGCCCCGCCAAGCTCACGCCTCTCCCCGAGCTCTCCTTACTGACGCTGTAACAGTCTCAGGTGCACAGCATACGCTGCACGTCCACCAGCTGTCACCACACACACAACTTGTGTATGTGTGTGATGAGAACTTTTAAGATCTATCCTCTTAGCAACTGCAAAGCACACTTCTAAGTCACTGAGTGCCAACAAACAAATAAACAAAAAACAGCTAAGAGGTACGCGGGGACCAATGAAGGGCAAGTCCCACTAAGACCAGAATGTCCTCCTTCCACAGCGATGCCAGTTACAATGTGTTTCCTTTATGACGAAGGATGGATGTGGGAATTAAGAAATATTTAAAGTATGGCCGAAACCGGTTTGGCTCAATGGATAGAGCGTCGGTCTGCGGACTGAAAGGTCCCGGGTTCGATTCCGGTCAAGGGCATGTACCTTGATTGCGGGCACATCCCCAGTAGGAGGTGTGCAAGAGGCAGCTGATCAATGATTCTCTCATCGGTATTTCTGACTTCTATCTCTCTCTCTTCCTCTCTGTAAAAAATCAATAAAATATATTTTTAAAAGAAGAAATGTTTAAAGTATGAACTTCTTTCTAATTCTTCTAAACTTCCTTAAATGTCTAGTACATTCATGTACGTGAACCATTCATACCCATGGTATATCTGGGTTTTAAATTAGCAGCAGTGGTACTGAGCTTCCCATGGTGATATATACTGTGCTTCTTTTGGCGAGCGCCTCCAGCTTCGGACGCCAAAAGTGAAAACTAGGTGGTCGCCTGACGGTCACCAGCACCGCACACCTGACCCGCGGAGGGCGCTGCGGAGCAACGGGCAGGCTTTCTTCCACGGAGTATTCTCCGAAAACCACACTGACCAGAGCCGAGGCCGTCTCACTCATTGGCCATCGGGCTGCAGACCACGCGTCCTGACTGGAAAGGAGAGAAGCTGCGCCACCAGGACCAACCCCACCGTCCAATCCACCAAAGGAGCGGGCGTTCCCAGCCCTGGAGCATCCGACACTGAGCGGCCGAGGGGCCGACTCCCGGCAGGCCCTGCGAGAGCAGCCATGGCCACCGGCTGACAGTTTCCCAAAACCCACCTTACCTGCTGCTTTGGTGTTTACATTAGCGAGTGTGACAGGCATCTTTCTTAAAAAGCATGCTATTTTCAAGTTTTAAAGTCTGATCACAGGTTTACATATTTAAGGACTATCCGATTCCTACAGAGCAGCAATTTTCAACCTTGCTCACCTCATGCACACACAAACTAATTACTGCAACTCTGCGGCACACCAAGAAGTATTACATTGTTTGCCCATCTAACAAAAAAGAAAAAAGGTATAAATGTGATTCATTCACACCGAAGGGCTATTTATTGGCTGTTGTCAATTTTTATTTACATTTTTTAAATTAAATGTATTAGGATGACCCTGGTCCTCATGAAATGCAGGTTTCATTTCATCTGACAATCTGAGGGAGCAGAGGGCAGGCGCTCACTGAACAGCCGGGGCTGCATGTTCTAACTGTTCTGTGCTGCCAGAGGGTGAGGTGGAACCTCAGTACAGACCACCGCTCCCTGCCGGGCAGTGAGTGTCCCATCGGGTGGGTCAGCAGGACCTGTCTGAACGTGGCTAAGGTCGCTCACACCTCAACTTCCAAAACTGCAGCCTACAGTGACAGTTCTTACAAATCACACTTGGAATTACTCAGAATCAAAGCTAAACTCTAGAAAAACTCAAACACTATACCAAGAATGGACTGTAATGACACCCTATCATAGTAGACAGGGACAGAGTGTTGATGGCAAAGCTACGTAACAGGAAACATAAGGAGCCGGGCGTTAGGATGCTGTCTCGTATACACCGACTGCGGCTCCCAACCCCCCCCCCCCCCCCCCCCCGAAATTTAACACTCCAAGCATCAAGCAGGGAGGAGAAAATGCACTGGATAATTCCCTTCAGAACTTTCCAAAGGGACTTTCCAAAATCCTCCCACTTCAGGACACCACTGGTCCTGGTTGGGCAGTCGGGTTCAGAGGCCCGTACACACAGGCTTTCCTGGCGTTTCTGCGGAGCTTCAGAATCTACAGATTAACTCCCTCCCTCCTTGGCTCTGGGAATCGGGCAAGTCACGTCACCTGTTCCTCCGTCTTCCCTGACTCAGAGAAGGCGCCAGGACGGCCTGAGAGGGTCGAGCTGAGAGCACGGAGAGGGAGACCCTCAGTAGAAGGAAAGTGAAGCATGATGGCCGAGTGAGCACGGCACCCATCGGCCTGAGGGTCAGGAGGGAGCACGGCACCCACCGGCCTGAGGGTCAGAAGCGTGCGGCCGGCCAGCTTGGGCACGCGGCCTCGGCTAACTCTGCTGCTCTCTAAGCCTGTAACGTGGGAATGACTCTGTGCCTCAGACTACTCTGAAGATGGAATAACATAGACTGGTGAAATGACTTAAGCTCCCGCAGGGTCAGGGACAATGCTTTTACAGGCTTTAAACGGCAGGCTGGAATGTCCATCCCCCCACCCTCTACTCTAAACCTTTGCCCTAAACCTAGTCCACTTCCTGTTTTTGTAGCTAAAGTTTTATTGGGACTTAGCCATGCTAGTCATTTATGCATTATTCCTGACTGCTTTCATGCTGCACCAGCCGAGCCGATAGCTGCACAGAGACTGCAGCCCACGAAGACGAATGAGTTCCCTCCGGCTTACAGAGGGCTAGACGGTATTCTCCGAGCGAGGAGCTGGCCCTCAGCTGTGCCACCTCCACTGCCTGGGCGCTGACAGTTACTCCCCAGAGTGATGGACACTGTCTAACTCTCCTCTCTGCGCACGACACACCCACCGCACAAACACAGACACCTGCTGTCTGACTTCTGACGTGTGCCGGGCCATTGGTTTGTCACTACACTGGGAAGGCTGAACATATTTTCAGACGCTCAAGAAACACATTGGGATAACGCTTATTCTCATTCAGAAGACACTGCTCCCAAAGCAGGAATGCCATGGGGATCTGAACTGGCAGAAGCTGAGATGTTTCTATGTTTGTAAGAGCCAGGGAGAGGGTTTGCGATGTTATAAACACAAGAGGCACTGGCTTATTCACTGAAACACTCACTGAAACCCTGCTCTGCGTAAGCAACATGCACAGCCCGGGCAGTGGCATACGGCATGCTCCCTACTCTCAAGAGGCCAAAACCCTATGTATACATACACTGAGTGGCCCAATTATGATGATCTCTGGACACATAATAATCTGGCCACTCAGTGTGTGTGTGTGTGTGTGTCTGGACCCCATCCATGCATGAATTCGCGCATGGGTGGGGTCCAGACAGCCTGGCCAGGGGGAGGGGATATGGGCAGTTGGCCAGCCTGCCTGCTGGTCAGACTCCCCTTCGAGGGGACAATTTGCATATTAGCCGTTTATTCTATAGGATATACACTAAGCGGCCAGATTATTATGTGTTCAGAAATCATCATTATCTGGCCACTCAGTGCAGACAGGCATGATATCAGTTGTTTTTACCACCACCTGTTGGAAACTAGATCAGAAAATTGACCACAGAAGGACTCTGACCCAAAGCCCTCCCAGGACGCCAGCCTGTCTCATCAGGGTAAGCCTGACTGTGACTGAGCATTTCACAGGCGGCATATCCGTCACAGACACAGAATACCAGGATGCAGAACTCCCCGTGTGAACGGCAGACCTGACCACTCCTCCTGGAGCACTGTACCTGCAACCAGCTCTAGCTCAGGGAGAGGCAGGGCTCGGTCTTCACCAGCCTGATGCTGGAATGCAGGGAGCTAAGCCATCTTCCAGGAAGCACCGGCCCAACCTCCCCATTTCTCCACCAGCCCCCACCAGCCTTCGCCAGGAAGCAGACCCTGGGAGACCCACAGGCGGAAAGAGTGCTGACGGCGGTGAGGGCCCGTGGAAAGCCACACGTCCTACCAGGAGTCATTCCTTGTCCCTCCCGGGACAAGCCTCCCCAAGCCCCAGCCCGCACAAACCCTCCCTGCCTGACTGCATGCCCCTTCTCCCACACCCCAGGCCCCAGCTCAGACCAGTCCAAAGGCGGTGGCAACTGCTTCCTGTGGCAACAGCACAGGACAGTCTCCGATACCCCGAGCCTTGAAGCTGGAGGAGAACCCAGCCTCAGGACAGCAACTTCAGGCTGTTCCAGATCCTTCTCTGTCCACGAGTCAGGCCAGCGTCCTCCAAGGACCCCGCCCCCAAAAAAAGTGCCCACCCGCCAGGTTCTCCCTGCACCCCTCCCCATCCCATGGCCCTCGTCTGCAGAGCCGGAGCCAGGCCCCCGACCACTCTCCGGGGGCGCAGCCCCAGAGAACTCGCCCGAAACGCCGATTTCAGCTCCGCGCGAGGATCGTGAGGCGCTGGGACGCTCCCCACCGCCCTAGCTGGTCACGGTGCTGGAGCCCAGATCCTCAGACCCTGTCCAAGTCACTCCCGTCCCCTCCCTCCCAGGCCCCTAATGCACCAGGACCCCGCTCGAACCCCCGACAGACCCCACCCGCAGAGCGGCCGGGCCTGCCGCCTCGACCCCGCGCGCGGGGCCTGACCTTGCCGGAGCTGGGGGTCGTCCAGCACGTTGTAGGCCGCGTAGTCGCTGACGCCGTGCAGCCGCAGGATCTGCACCACCGCGTTGCTGAAGCCGCACTGGGGCTGCTCCGGCGTGCCCTTGAGGAAGACCACCACCTTGTCCTTCTTCACCATCGCGTCCAGCCGCTCCGCCGAGCCTCCGCCGCCGCCGCCCGAGCCCGCCGCCCGCACGCCCGGGCCCCGCAGGCCGCCGCCGCCGCTCGCGCCGCGCCCCCAGCGGAGCAGAGCCGCCGCCGCCCGGCCCAGGTACCCGCTCATCCCGCACGCCCGCCGGAACCCTCTACGGAGGCCGGGACCGCGGCTCGCCGCCCGCAGCCTTTCCCCGCCCCTCCGCGGCCCGGCCCGCCCCCCGAGGGCCCTCATTGAGCCGGCGCCGAGCAGCTCTCCGTGATTGGAGGAGGCTGGCTCACAACGCCCAATCCCGTCACTCTCCCCGCCTCGACAGGTTGGAGGTGGTCCTTACGCCTGAGCCGCATCCTAAGGTCTTCCCATTGGCTCTCGGCAGCTGCTTTGCCAGCTGATTGGAGAGAGTGGATGTCCATCAGGGTCACGCTCCACCGCAGAGAGGCGAAACGCGGGGGAAGACGAGGGTAGAGCGGCCGGCTGGGATTGGTCCGGGGAACTGGGAAAGGCTCTGGGCGGGGTTCCGCCGCCCCGCGGAACGCCGGGAAGGGGTCACTGCCCGAGGAAGGTTCCGGTTCCGGTTCAGGTGGCTGTCGAGTTGCCAGGCAACGCGGTTGGCGGGCTCCTTCGTGAGGAGCGGTAGCTGGACTAGAGGAGGCCTAGGCGCGCCTTTCCCAGCCTCGGTGAGCGAGTCCGGTGCCTCCCTACGGCGGCGACCGAATGCGGCCGTTCGTGGCGGGAGCCGGGCCGGGCGCTGGCGGGCAGGCCTGCCGGGGCTGCGTCCTCGGGCCTGGCCGCACGTCCCGGCTCGCCTGGCCCCGCCGCCCACGTGGGAGGGCAGGTCCAGACCCGGCCCGGCGGCTCCGGCCTCTGGCTCTCCTTTATTTCTCTAAAGAGCAAGAAGAAAACCCTTTTGTGTTAAACGTTTGTAAAGCGCTCTCGTCTGAGTGATCGATCCCACCGGGTTTGGGGTTCGCTGACTCTCCAGCCCACTTAGGCCCTGGGCCTGGCCCCGGGAAGGTGCGGAAGGGGCCGCGAGGACGGGGAACGGCGCGCCGGACCAGCGGTTTGCGAGCAGGTGCGTGCGCGGCGCGGCCAGCGGGGGGAGAAGCAGGTGCGCGGCCGCGTGGGGGTGCAGCAGAGGGGGGCCCGCCGCTTCCTCCCGCCTCCGCCGCACTTCCTGCCCCCTCGCGTGTCTCTGTAGACGGGCGCTGACTTCGCGCCGGGCGCCGCTGTGATTCTGTGCTCCCGCGGGGGCGGCGGGGGGCGGTCAGTGGGCCGCTGCGGGGTCTGCAGTCTTGGAGCCGCACTGGGTTGGTGGTACCCGAGGGCACACCAGACTTGCAGGAAAAGCATACCCCGGAGGAAGCTGAGGCATGACGGCTCTAGCACCAGCCTTCCATGTGCAATTTTCCTCGGATAGTTCCTGGGCGCTGTTGCCACGGTGATAGTGACTGTCCGTGTCATTGTCTATCCACCAACAGTGAGAGCAGCTTTGCAGTCGAGATATTGTTTGACAGACGGAGTGGTTTCTGTTGGACACTAAGTACTGCTACAAATGATGGTGTTGGTTTGTTGTTTTTTTTAAAAAAAAGTTGTGTCTGGGGGTGACCTGTTGATGCTTTGGAGGTGCCCAAATTCAAAGTCAGAAAGTAAGTTCAGGGGCTGTCAGCAAGGGAATCTCCCAAACAAACCTTCAGTGTGAATTCTGAGGCTGATGAGCTGGAAATAAACTCAGAGGTGACTCAGAAGCGCTCCTCCGGACCCATCTCATCCCATCAGGGGTATTGGTGTTTAGTAGTGTCCCACTGTGGGACCCAAAATTGATCAGCTTCTTAAAGGACCCCCTCCCCCATCTCTCCTTTGATATTCCAGGTAAATCAGAGGAGCAGGCACCAGGAGCCAGAAATACACCGGAAACGGCCGTGATACAGAAGCAGAACCAGGAGTCCAGCATGTGGTGCAGTTCACAGTAGAGAATACATTATTTCCCACATCACCTGACTCTTACTCATGCTTACATTATAGTGAGATGTGTTGTTTAAAAAAATATATATATGTGTTGGTTTTTAAATAAATATTGGCGATTTCCTCCTGAAAGTGTACATTGTTCATTGCCTACTTAAACCTTTGTGTAATGCTATCCCGTACCTGGAGTGGAATCGGCTTCCCGCTGCCAGGTGTTCCGTTCAGCTGAGAACACAGCTGTCACTAAAGATTAGGAGTAATCCTTGAGCAAGAAGAATGCAAAGCCTGTTTGTCAGATTGTTAAGCAGCAGTTGCTGCTCACAGAGCATAAGAGCCTGAGTGAATGTAAGCTGTGGGAACGAGTTCAGGCTCTTCAGGGGGCTGGGGGTGGGGAGGCTTTGTCAGCAGCTCAAGGCAGGAAGAGAAGTCAGGGGTCTAAGCCAAAGGATTGGAACCATACACCTACATTTAGTTTTGGATAAAGGAAGCAAAAATAGAAAATGTCTAACATAGTCATTTCTGTTTTGAGTTAAAACCACTCTTGGAGTATTGGCTGCAAGCGTCACTGATTTTATTTTTTAAATATATTTTATTGATTTTTTACAGAGAGGAAGAGAGAGGGATAGAGAGTTAGAAACATCGATGAGAGAGAATCATCGATCAGCTGCCTCTTGCACACCTCTACTAGAGATGTGCCCACAACCAAGGTACATGTCCTTAACCGGAATCGAACCCGGGACCTTTCAGTCCACAGGCCAACGCTCTATCCACTGAGCCAAATGGGTTTCGGCACGTCACTGATTTTAAAAAGCAAAGAAAATAGTATTCAAAATATTTCTTCGAAAGCATCAAACTCCTGTATAATTTGGCATTTTAATTTTGAGATTTCTCTAGGAATTTAACAATAACATGGCACAAATGTACTCTTCAAACAGTTACCAGAAATCCGCACTTGTGCTAAAACATACGGGTGTTTTGAACACGTAAGTCAATAATCTATCCATTTCTGCCTCCCCTGTGGGCACTGGCGGGAAGAGGGGGTGGGAAGCACAGAAGCTTGGGAAAATCCTGGCGTGGTCACAGGATATAATTAGACTCCAAACAAAATAACCCAGGCATGTGAGCTTCCTAAAAATGTTTTTCTTTCCTGCACTTATTTATAAATAAGGCTTTACTATATTTGGTAAAATTTTTCCTTTACACGCACTTTTTCCAAAAGCAAACGCATGTGGAGCCAAAGTTAAAAACCTTGCAAATTCGTCATGGTGTCTTCCCAGATGACAGCCCTAAAGGAGGACCCGTCACTGAGCCTGATGGCCTTTCTGTGACCTCGGCTCCCCTGCTGCCGAGCTTCCTTCTGGACGTGCCATACAGAAGCGGCGCCATCCCAGTGGGCACAGCATTCTGTAACGTGTCATTTTAAGACAAAAGTGGCTGCTTGGACAGCGCAGGGGAGAGCCACACACATCTCTGAGCTGAGCGAGCATTGGGACCCCGAGTTGCAGCAGGAACCGGAAGCCTGGGGCACCTCGCTGTTGCCCAGGAACCTGAGCCTCACTGCAGCCCTGGATGTGCTGACTCCCCACCTGCCTGGAAAGGGGGTGATGTGGAGAGCAAGGCCGGCCGCCGCTGGCCAGGGCGGGAGGCCGGCCATCACCTTCACCAGCAGAGAGGGAGGGCCAGGAGCCCAGAAGGCTGGAGGCCCTTGAACTTTGGGAGGGTCAGAGCTGTCACCCTCTGCTTAGTCCAGACAATGGAAGAGGAAGCAACTTTCCCACCAGATAGTCATGTAAATCCTTATAGTCCTACTGATAAGAAGGTCGGCCTGTTACTGGAGATTGCCTGCCTCAGGGCTATAGGTGTGTCCCACTTTGAATAAAAGCTTGGGGAGGCCTGAGCCCAGGCTGAGTCCTTCCTCGAGCTGGGCTCCCACCTGGCCCCAATATTTCCAAATTACTGTTTCTTGTCTCTCATTTGCATGCGGCTCCTCTTCCAGAGCCAGAACCCTGAACCACGCTGGGCGTGGGAACTCACGCTGGGGAATCTGCTAATCCCTAAGGCAAAGAGCAATGCCTGCTGGGCTTCACTGTCTCCACTGACAGTTTGTAGAGACCCCTCTGGCCCTGGGAGTGGCCTCCCTCTGGCTGGTCCCCACCTCAGTGGGCTCTGCCCGGAGACCCGGAGGAAGAAGGAAGGCCGCGGGGTCCGGTCCGTAAAGGGAAGGGAGCGGGGTGCTGTCAGTTGGGTTGCTCAGTCTAGGACCTGCTGGGGGAGATGCGGTGGAAACGGATTCTCCATCCGGAGAAGCACTTATGAAAAGCCCGAGCCCACCGCGGAACCGGATCCAGCGCCGGGAGTCTGAGGCTGGCTTCACGCCCCTGAATACTTAGGAGTTCTAGATTCTTCTCTGTCTCCCCGGGTTTGTGAAAAGTGTGTGATGGCTGCCAACAGTTACTCTTATTTCGAGACATCTTTCTCTAGGGTTGCCGAGTTTCAGGAACCGATCCTCTGCTCCTAAATATTTGTCCTCTGCTCCTAAATATTCACCCCAAAATCATAGTCTTCCACAGGCAGCAGCCGTGTGGCTCTTGAGACAGGTTTTGTGCGCCTGCATTCCTGCGGACTTCCCCCTGACCCTGGGACAAAGGTCCTCGGTGTTTTGGTCCCTAAGTTGGTGCGAGGGGCGGTGTTGGTGGAGGGCATCTTTTTGCCAGACGTGAGCTCCAGGCGCTGTGCTGCCTCCACCAGCACTCTGAAATCGCACTGCTCAGCCCTCCCCCCGCCAGCAAGTCCCACAGAAATGAGACCCTCCCGCGCTGCCTGGGCGCATCAGGCTCACTGGGGATTGGTGCGTCTCAGAACTAGGAGGACAGACGCACTTCAGCCTGAAGCCCAGTGACCACAGCGGGGCCACAGGCTCCGTGTCTGAAGGATTCCCTCTCCGTGTCCCCTCGCATCTGCTGTGCAGGGATGCCCAGCCCCCGGCCTCTGCTGGGCTCTGTCTGGTGAGACCTTGTCTAAGGGAACAGCCCACAGCACACGGTGACACTGGGAGGTGAGTGGTGATTGCAAACACATCCAGGCGGAGTGAAGCGATAAGGGAAGGCTCGCTCCCCGCAGTCTGTACGGCGAAGATTGGGGAGCCTGGCAGAGTGTGTTTCCGTCTT